AAACACCAGAGATGCAACGATTTGGTAAAGAATGGTGGTGTACAAAGAACGAATTTCAAGAGCTTGACTGTTCCTGGGAAGGCATAAAAATGGTAACATATTCGTGCCTATGTTTGACTCATATCTATAGACTTGTATTCCACCTTATATATATATTATTTTATTTTTAAACGAGAAAAGAAAAATATACGAAAAAGATAAGAAAGAAAAAAATCTAGAAGAAAGGAAAACAGTTGTTTAAAAGTCTTATGGCCAAACAACATTTCAAGAGATGTCATGGAACAAGTGATTCCCAGAGAAAGATCTAAGTTTGAGGGAGAAATGCATCATCAGAAAGAGGTTGGGAAATTTTGAACATCTATAGAACCATTTTCTTTTACGATTTTTTATAATATTTCACACCGAGAGTTTGGGGGACAAGCAAGAACTCAAGTTTGGGAGAGTTGATATACTCTATATTTTATCATTTTTACTATAGATTTTACTATATTTATATGCATTTTATTGCTCATTTCTACCAAAAGAGGTAATTTTTTAGTATATCGTTTTTGAGTCTTAACAAGTTAAAACATCAAAAAGGATGCAAAAGGATCAAAATAAGTATTAACTATGCTACAACTATTTATTCAAGTCAAAGGAACCAACCCAAGTCACTTTATCTTCAAGAACATACATATTCTCAAGTTGGACATAACATATACACCAGACGTTTGCCAAAGAACGGAGGATAAAATCAATTTGGAATTGTATGAAACTAGTGTCAATATAGCCCGAGTTAGCTTTCCAATGGAGTTGGAATTGCGTCATCTGGAACTGTGGATAGAAAGACACACTTGATTTATTGAAGGCTAGTCAAACTGCCTCGAAGCAGAAGCATGTGAAGAGTGAAGCTAGTACTGACCACGACCGTTGGTCCACACTCCAGATGGACATCAACACATAGATGAAGATATTTCTCAGCCCAGTACCGACCCAATATTTTGGCCTATATCGTGATTTGTATCAGGAGTGGTTTCAACCAAATTTTCTTTTTCGCCCACCACATAAGAGCTCTTCACTTTATAAGTTTCCTTAGTAGCCAAATTCGCAAAGAACCCACGATTTTGCAGTCTTTTTCACTCGATACATTGAGAAATCGAAGAACTTATGCAAACTCTCTTTCTCTTCTCGTCTATACTAAAC